CCCTGAACCCTAAGCAGTCATCAAAAGGGCCCTCAAAAAAAAAAAAACCCTAAACCCCTAAACCCCTAAATCCGAAACCCTAAACCCCCAAACACGAAACCCGAAACCCTAAACCAAAAAACGGTCAACCCGTGGCCCGTGGGGCTCCTGGACAGGAGGCGGCGTGGTCCGAGGTGGCAGGGATCCCAATTGCTTGGCCATTCCTGCTTTTCAGGGTTTAGGGTAGGTTTAGGGTTTAGGGTTTAGGGTTTAGGGTTTAGGGTTTAGGGTTTAGGGGTTAGGGTTAAGAGTTTAGGGTTTAGGGTTTCTGCTAATACAACAACTACGACGACGACTACTACTGCAACTCCCGCAGCAGCTGCTGCTGCAAAAAATGTTCCTGCTCCTGCTCCTGCTCCTGCTCCTGCTTACTGCTACAGCTACTGCTACTGCTGTCTGCTACAATGTGCAAGCCCTGCAAGCTCTAAAAGAACTTCAAAAGAGCTTTGTAACAAGCTTAAGAAGCCGAAACCCTATAAGAGCCACCCTCATAGAGCCCTCTTTGAAAAAACACTTCAAGGAGCGCGTGAACAGAACTCTATAGAAAGAACCCGCAAAAAATGACCTCTACCACTGAGACCGCCTGGAGCTCCATCGGCGAAGGCCGGTCGAAGCTGGCCAGTCCTTCAGCTACCGGTTTGGGCCTTTCGGGCATTAGGCTTGAGGGTTTGGGTTTAGGGTTTAGGCTTGAGGGTTTGGGGCTTCAGGGTTTGGGGATAGGCCTTCGGGGCTTTCGGTTTAGGGGTTTAGGGCGATAGGGTTGTGGGGATTCGGCCTTGGGGTTTAGAGCTTTGGCTTGGGCGTTCGGGCCTTGGCGGGGGTTTAAGGCTTTAGGGCTGTGCTGCTTAAGTTTTTGGAACTGAGGGTTAGGGGCTTAGGCCTAGGGTTTGGGGGGCTGTAGGAGTTTGGGGCTTTAGTGCGCGGGGGGAGGGGCTCTCGAGTTCTACTCGCGTGTGTCTACGTCTAAAGTATATCTGAAACCTTGCCTTTTCTTCGCCGGCGCATGCACGATGTCAAACTCGGAAACCCTCGCCACCTTGCAAACGACGTGCCTGACATCATGCAATGTTCCCTTCAGTGTGAGACCGTGTATAAGCTGCAGCTCGCCGAGACTTGGCTCACGGGCCAGCCAGCGATGGATTTCCTCGCTAAGGCGTTCAAGCCCGACGTCGAAGGATGCGAGAGCTTGAGCAAGTTCTTCCGTAACGTGACCTGGAATCACGGCAAGCAGGCGAAGGAAGTGGCACGGGGCGCAGAGGTCTTCGTGCCCCTCGGTCTGCTGGTGACCCTGGAAATCTGCATTGCATTCCGCAGCCTCTGAGCTTACTTATGCCTTCCCTCCAAGACCCGGAAAAAAGAGCAAATGCTGTGCCGTGGGAGAGTAGCTGCTTGTCAGTGATACAACAACAAGGCCGTGTATCTCCTCCTACGGAGATACAACCCATGACATCTTGATATTGGCCTTCCTTCTACAGCCGCTAAAAAAGTTCATGGATTTCCTGGTCTTCTTCATAACGTCTCTGGTCCAGGCGTTTTGAGACATTGCCTTCTCAGCTAGCAGCTTTTTCGCGTGTGTCCGCAGGACGCGGCCCTAAAGCTCAACACGACTCACACCGCCGTGGACTACGGCCGAGCTCCCAGGAGGGGAAAACGAAAAGGGGGGCAGCATAGTTGAGTCTTTAGGCCACGCCGGCCATGTTTCTGGCGTGTGCTTCGCCGGGCCCGTGCGAGTCGGCAGTCTGGAAAAGAAAATCGTCTTCTCGTTCTGCACTAAGCGCCAGTTCCAGGACTCGGGCTGGCAAGGCTTGGCCTTGAAGCGGAATTTGGTGCACACGGGTTGGAGTCGAGCACTTACCAGATGCTACATATGTGTCGAAGACCTGCGAGACGAATGCTGTCGCGCGAACGCTGCCTGTCAGGGCCTCTGGCTGCAAACACTGAACGAAGCCGAGATGGTCTTCCGAGAGGCACGGAGACTAAATCGAGACACGCATGGCGCGGCAAGAGCGGACCCTGCTGCACAGGTTTACAAACAGGAGCCCGTCTGGCACGACAGCGCTGGCAAGGTCCCTTTTAAACGAAAGCTACCTCGTGGTCGCATTACACAGGACTTGGCGTGTCGAACGAACATCTCCAATGAAAAGCTTTGGTTCTCCTTCTCATGCTTCGTCTTTGAGTACGTCGTCCTGCAGCCGCCGGAGCATGTTTGCACTGTTTCCAAACACGGACTGGAGACACTGCGAACGCAGTTGGCTCAATTTAGACGTCAAGCATTGCTTACAGGAGAAAGTGCTGCCGTGGCTAGACATTTCTAGTCGTGATGGTCTTTATACGTGTTCGGAGTATTCACGAAGTTGTGGCCAGATATGGTTTTGACGGCAGCACGTACGTCTATATGGTGTTTACTAAGTCTACTGATCATGTTATTCCGTTACAGCGGGGCGACCAGCCTGTCACAAACGTGTTCTGGCCTCCGTGGCATGTGGAGGAGACACTAGCAGAATTGCGACTTGGATTAACAGAGGACTCGATGCCAGGATCACCCGGAATACCGGCAAGAGCTGGGGGGTAGAGTGCAAGCTCAGCAGACATGGTCGCTTCTCACGAATGCGAGGCGATCAACATCCTGGAGGACCGAAGCACCCGGAGCCGAGTGATAATAGAGTCGGACCTGGAGTGAATCTCGTCCAAGGGTTTTTGCTTTTCAGGACACCGAATTCTGGTTGCAAGGTTGCCACTCACATCGACCTGGCTTCGAGCTCGTCTTCTGCGAGCAGCACGAGCCGGATGTCGTGTATTTGCACTGCGACTGTGCCTGGCCATGGGCTTGGGTCGACAACACCCACTACAAAACGCTGCTATGTCGCTGCAACAACTGCGAAGCTGCCCAGGCGTTTCTCCTCGCATAAAAACCTCCGCCTGAAGCTGCACACCAGCCCCATTCACGTCCCTGTTGAACATACGCACAGGGATGCCTGGAAGTCTGAAGCCGCGTCCTCGGCGACGCCCTTACGAGAATGCCATGCCGCCAATTTTCCCACCAAGCTCGAAGCGCTCCACAAGTGTGGGTTAATCCGCTTATCGCGGCAGGAACTCGGAAGGAAAAAACCCTGCATTTGCAAAGCGCACACAAGAGGGCTTGGCGCCTGAGCCCGAAAACCAAGGTGTATGTATGTATGTATGTTTGTTTGTTTGTTTGTCTGCATGTATGTATGTAATTGCACACATTATATGTATGTATATACGTGTACATGTGTATAGGCATCAAATATACAAGGCAATACCGGTACACACAGGCACGGTGATTATGCACACAACAGATAAACACTGTGAAAGGTTGTTATACACTAAGACGTACGGTAGAAATTGCAAAGCCTCAACCTTGAAACCCCAAACCTTCTAAACCATATAACCGCTAAACCCAATAACCCTCATATCATACCGATACCCTTAAAACGCCCCAACCCAGGAGCCAACATCCTCATCCGTTGAACTACATCATGAGTCCCAGCCACGATAAAACTTATGAGCTCCAAGCCCTACGTCTTACACCCTAAACCTTGCGGTGCGCTGCTGAGGCTGTAGGCTGCCCGGACCCGCCCGCAGTGCCGTCGGCGTCTGTTTCCGCTTGACCGGAAGCCCAGTGGGATTGTGCAAGACAGGTTTGGGGTTTCGGACGTCTCCCTAAGCATCCAAAAGGCCCAATACTTAGTAGTAAAGTAGGTTAATACTTGGGCCTTCGGGGAGGAGGTTTGCAGGATCTGTGGGGCCGGTACAGTTTCAGGGCTTGTCGGGTTTAGGATATGGTTTTAAGCTTAAAGTCCGATACCTGTATAGTTCTGACATGCGCAGTGGGTTCGGGGCGCTCCGTATAGGTTTGTGGGTCTCAAGCAGGCGCTTCCACAACAAGTATAGGGGAACTTCTTTCAAGCAGGGGCTGGAATCAAGGGCAGCTTTTGGGGCAGGGTGTTCGGTTACGGAGTTCTAAGCCCTGAACCTTCAAACCCTAAGCACCAAACCTCTAACCCTAAACCTTGGACAGACGGCCTTTTCTTGGATGGGCCGGTTTGAAGTGGAAGGGTTTTTTGTATTGTTTTCTCCACCTCTAGTGATTAATTAGCGTGGATTTTCATCGAGTTTGTGAGAATGAGGCCCCAAATTAACGATTATACTTGAAAGGCATTCGTTGTTCTACCAAGGCATATAGCTCCGTAGTGTGCTTTGCATTGCATATGTTCCACAATGGAATGAGCTTTCGAAGTTTCATGTGAGTTTGGCCTGAGGTTGCTTTGCATCTTCATGGTTCAGCGCTCCATCCAGCCTGTCGCAAAGATTCCAATTTCAAACGCGACCCTAGTTTCGGCTTCCCGGAGGGCAATGTCAGCTCTCAGGTGAGGGATCCTGAGTGTGCCTCAGTTTTCCACATGACTTTAACATACTTAGCCAATGGGAGAACTTTAAACTTTTTGGCCATATATAGCTAGTCTATAGTAGAAAGTTCAAACTTTTTTGGGCTCAGTTATTGACGAAGAGAGTTAATGTTCCGAACGTATCATTCACTCGTGCAATCAGTCCGTAGGCCGTGAAACAAGATTGCGAGGTGTTTCTTTTGCAGAAGGCATTTCGCAAGTGTTCTCACGAAGACTCCTCGTAGGTCCTTCAGAATTTGGGCTCCACGTGTTGGGTTATCACCACCACCATGAATTAGGACACAGGCATCCCGGATGCACGAGCTGAGCGTACTGGAACCACGGTCCGGTTTCGTGAACTAGAACTTGATGTGAGCGCGATTTGATATTGCAGGGTTGCCAGCAAACAACAGGTGCCGAAAAACATAGGTCGGGTTTTGATACTAGTAGTGCACACAACTCGTTCTGCTGTTGTTCGTCAGAAGCTGATTGTTGGTTCGCCGTGAAAGCCGTATCCGGTAGCAGAGTGCAGCATGGGTTATGCCTCGGACACATAGTTTATGCAGTAGCAAGACAATGGACTTATCACCACACTGCCGAGTTTGGAGTTTGGCGTCACCAATTGCCCAGGTAATACAGATGTTTCGCATTGGTTGTTCATGCAGAGGCATCACGCATTGCCGATGTAAGAGCAGAGCGGGCACAGATCACACGGCACTTGCGGCATGTCGTAAGCTGTGCTACGCAGCTGCCGTCGAACCGGCTGCATAAACTTCAATCCCGCAAGGACGGTGGCCAGCGAAGTCGTCGTGGGGGCATTTCATTGACTTTTTTTGTCTTGATTAAAAAACCGTTAATGTCCGGCAGGAAGCCGGGAATTTAGCGGTTTTTTCAATACCACACAGCTGTGTGAACCACGCGTTGTTCCGGACAGGACATTCTCTACGATCCGCATGGCAAGAAGCTAACAGCTGACATCTAAGCAGATCCGTACCATTTTTGTTGCCTGCATCGTGCAGCAGAACAAAAATTGAACAAAACCGGCTCGTAGCTTGCCGCGTGCCTTCTCGAGCAACATCGATGTGAGGTCGTTCCGACAACTTGCTTTTTCAGGACAATGCTGCTGAAAAGGGCGGAGATGTCGGGCAGCACGAATAAGTTCATCTCACTGACTTGGGAATAGGAGTCGCAGGCGTGCGTTTTGGTCCAAATTTCTTGGAACAATGAGGTTGGGGTGCTAAGTTGACTAGACCGGCAAACCCTTTTTCTTTAATGTGGGTACGGACGATGACAGCGTGTCAAGGCATTGACTTTTGTTGCTTTTGTGGGAAAGTTTTCGCTTCCTAAAGATGCAGCCGGAGACCGCAGGCCATAAAAGCAGCCCAGGTTCCCTGCGCTGTTAGGTGTCCGAATTGCGATTGCGTTGGTTTGGGGTTTGGGGCACCTTGCGATCGTGGATTCAGAGTTGTTCCATATTTTCTAGGCCATGCCAGGCCCACGGCCTCAAAGAACCTGGAAGTTTCAACCGTTGAGTCTTGAAAAAGCCCAGCCAGCTTTCATGCAATCTTGCGGCTCCCTTTCAGATTCAATGTCGATACAGCATAAAAAGACTTTAGTCGTTTTTTGAACCTAAATCTCCAGTACTTAGACCCCGAATTCTAGTACTCTGGCTTGACGGCCTTATCATCATATTAACGGATCCGAACCAGTAAATATGTCATCACTGTACATTGTGGGTACATTTTGGGAAACCTTTCAGAACGCCGGATGCCGTTCAGTCTAAGACCGCTGTATTGCAGGTCCATCATCCGTAGAAACTCGGTAATCTGCAACGCAAGCTCCAATGCATACCTAAACCTTGAGCTAAGGCCTGCAATATGCCCTAAGTCCCACACCAAAAAAACGCTAAGTCCGAAAACCTACAGCCTTACCCATAGGCCCCATAGTAGTTCCTTTTTGGGATTGCCTTATAGGATTCTAAATATGAACCCCAAAAAGGAACTACGATGGGGCCTATGGGTAAACACCTACTAGCCAGGAGTGCCGCGTGGCCTGCAAGGAGGGGTTCGGAACTTTGGAGACGTCCATGCGCTGCGCCGGCGGCTCAGCAAGCATAGAAGCCTGAATACTTAGTACCCATAGGCCCCATAGTAGTTCCTTTTTGGGGTTCATATTTAGAATCCTATAAGGTAATCCCAAAAAGGAACTATTATGGGGCCTATGGGTAATACTATTCTGAAAGTTTTCTGGTTCATGGTTATAGGTGTCTTGCAATATACCTCAGCCTGATCCCAACTTTGTGGAGGGTTTAGGGCTTGCAGGGTTTAGGGTTTGGGGTTTCCGAGCTCGGGGAATTACAATCCTCCCCGCCCATGCCCTTTCCCAAGCCCTTCTAGCTAAAAGCAGCAAAGGCAGCTTTGTCGGGATTGGCAGGCAGCCCACATGCAGCACTCGTGGGTCGTAGTCGTGGGTACTCGCCTTGGTCACCAGGAAGGCTTGTTTCTGGTACCTCGCCTCCATAGTTGTGAATCTTAAACTCACTATTCTGGTGCCTTTGTCCAGAACATAACCAGCAGTTGCCATCCTCTTAACAAAATAAACTTCCGGCGATGGCCAGAACATGCTGCCTTTTACCTTGAAGGGTTTCCTGCCACACGGAAGCTTGATTTGGGCGCTTGAGTATATCTTGTTAGACATACGATGGGACATGCCAGCAGGCTGTCTTAAAGCAGGGGGGCGTTGTTTCTCCTCGGCGGCCAGCATTCCGGTCTTTACGGGTCAGGGTTTCAATGTTCCGGGTTTTGGGTTTTGGTTTGCGGAGGAATTTACCGCATAGCGTCAAACCTCACCACTTTTAGTTTGGGGGCACCTTCTTTGGATGACCCTAAGCCCTAAACCCTAAACCCTAAACCCTAAACCCTAAAACCCACCACTTTCAGTTTGGGGGCACCTTCTTTGGATGACCCTAAACCCTAAACCCTAAAGCCCACCACTTTCAGCTTGGGGGCACCTTTGGATGACCCTAAACCCTAAAACCTAAAGCCCACCACTTTCAGCTTGGGGGCACCTTTGGATGACCCTGATATTCATCAGGCTCCGAGTATTCCCGGTTCTCCCTTGTGGCAGCTTTGGAGCTTCTAACGAGATTAGTAGGTTTAGGGTTTAGGGTTTAGGGTTTAGGGTTTAGGGTTTAGGTGATAATAAGAAGCCCCACTTGGTTCAGGGTAGCTTCCTCAGTAGATAAGTGTAGTGGGGTCTCTGGGAAATAAGCTCCGATGAAAAAGTCTCCAACTCTCGCTTACTCGGTCTGGTTCACAAGCTAAAATCGCCAAGCCTTAAACCCTAAACCCTGGGACATTCCAAGGTCTAAGTCAAAAGTGCGCCAGAGCCTGAATCCCGTAGACCCTTAACCCCTAGACCTTTCCAAAGAAGCCTGAGTTAAAGCCCCACACAAATTTGGGCCCGAAACTTTATTCTAATCATTATAAAAAAATATACCCCAAACCCAATGATTTTCTTTGCCAGCGAATACCTCCGAGGTGAACGGCGCTTGGTTCGTGCCGCAGTGTTGGCCGCTAGGACCGGGCGGGGGTTCCACTCTCAGGGTTTAGGGGTCTATATATTTAGGGTTTAGGGTTTAGGGTTTAGGGGTCTGGGTTTTGGGGTTTAGGGCTTAGAGGGATTTAGAGGGTCTAGGGTTTTAGGGTGTATGGTTTGGAGGGTCTGGGGCTTAGGGCTTAGAGGGTCTAGGGTTTTAGGTTGCAGGGTTTAGAGGGTCTGGGGCTTTGGGTTTAGAGGGTCTAGGGTTTTAGGGTTTTGGGGTTTAGAGCTTGGGGCTCAGACGTTGGGGTTGGGGCCCGTCAAAGTCACTCGAGGCCCAAAACTCCGAAATCCCAACCCCAGACCCAATGCCCTGAAGCCTTAAACCCTCAACCCTAAACCCTATACCCTAAACCCTAAACCCTGCACCCTAAACCCTCAACCCTAACCCTAGACCCTATACCCTAAACCCTATACCCT